TGTTAGCTAGTCCAAGTCTGAACCAAAACCAAAGCCCACGCTCAAAGTACGAGTCGAAGCAAGTGTCAGCTGCAACCTATTAAAAAAGCATCACGAACTGGCAATAGGTGGGTGGTAGAGAAGGGAGATGTTCTAGGGGATCCAGTACCGAGAAATACCTGGAGAAACTGAAGCACGAGTTTTACGACCTGCATTTCCGCTTGCCACAAAGCAAAGCACCAGCCCAAACTGAAGCTGACTTCCTGTTGTGGACGCAGCAGCAGAGGCGAAGGCGAAGGTGAGGGCAGGAGGACGTTGCCTGGCAGCCGAAAATGCGGAAACGTCCATTTTATAGCGGAAATATATTCTTATGCGGAGACGCGGCGATGATTTATGTATGTTTTGGCATTACGTGCCACAGCAGCAGTAGCAGCAGCAACAAAGCTTTGTGTGAGAATTTCGAATTAAATTCCTTGCCCCATGACGGCAGCTTATGAGGAGTAATAAAAAAATATATAGAAACTTGCAACAGAAATGGGTCAGGCTCATACAAATGCTGCAATTATTTGCATGCTCGACTCTCAAGTATTTCTATTTGCTCGAGTTCCCTTTGTGGCAAGCGGCATGCAGTATGCAAAGCGTGCCAACATACTCTGTGCCACTAACATAGTAGAAGTGCGTATCTTTGCGTCGCCTCAGCTCGAATTCAGGTTAAGTGCGCGTTCATATGCGTTTAAGCCTGACATTATTATAAGCCCACCCGACCATCCGACCCATCCAGGCCATAACTTACCACTCTCGATTACAGTTACAAAACTGCAACTTTTGCAGTTGATGTTGAGAGCATGCGTGCCACAGCAACTTTTATTTTTGTGCAGCAATCAACAAAAATGTAAAAAAAAAAAAAAAACAAAAAATTGCGCATGCAAAAAGTTTTCGCAATTTCGCTGGCAAATTTTCTGTTTGTTTTTTGTTGTTTTTCTTTTTGAAGCCTATAAAATATTGGCAAATAATTAAAAAGTTTTCCTCTGCTTGGCTAATGGAAATTGAAAAGTTTGTGAGACTCAATACAGCTGACATTTTGTAATTTGTTAAAAGTTTATCAAATTAACGAAAAATATTCAAATTCAATTTTATATTCACTGCCATGTCTCGAGAGACCTTTCAAATTCATGACCATTTCACTCTGAAACAACTTCATTAAAAATAGTTTAAAATATCTAGCTAAAACTACTAAAAATTATTATTGTAAGGGTTATAAGGGGTTATAGTATCAAGCATTCACAGTAGTAATTGATATTTACATGAGCAAAAGTAGTTTTCAAGATAATAATAGTATTTAAATCTATTTTAATTTAAACAAAATCAGCAAAATAACTGTAATTTTTTTATTGCTATGCTATTCTATTTCTATTGTGACCCTAATTCATTATGATTTTGATAATTCAGTATTATAAGTAGTTATTTGAGATGTGCATATCAGTGCAAGTTTGAGAAATGTGACAATATCCTTTAGTTTGAAAACTATAGCAAATTAAATTTTCCGATTATGCAGTCGTAAATAACGCCTTAAATTAATTACCATTTATTTAAACTGCAATTAATTGCTTAAAAGCATTTATACAGATATATGTATTTACACAATTACAGATACAGATACATTTAATACATACTGATACAACAACACACGAAAGTTTAATGGCAAATGCCTGCAGCCAAATAATATAATGCATTACATTTAATGAAATTTACGGGTCAACACCTCCCACAAGCATACGCATACGTACATACATACATATTGTGTAAACACATTTACTTAAACACACCCAGACACACATACATGAAGCTGGCCGATTCTGCATTACACGTCATTTCACAAGCCGACAACGCATGCATTCCTGCACATTTTATACCCTAGTGAGGTTACTTTAGCTTTTCAGGGAATGTGTGACGCAAATAGAAGAATGGAACATTTATAAAGTTCGCTTACAAATTACTTTTGGCTTATAAAATGTGCAAATTACTATTATTATTTTAACAGTAAGAACAGAATTGTGTTTAAACATTTCGGTAGAGTATATTGTTGTCGACACCACAAACGTAATTATTCCATTTATGATTTTTTTTTTTTGTGGTATCTCGCGCTCTGCCGCCTCTTACCGTTCACTTCATTTCTCTTCTTTGCCTGCCACCCACCCGCTGCCACATAGCTGTGTGCATTTTTTGCACTTACATTCGCGCCCGCATTCGTGCTGCGAACGGGTGCATAACATAAGCATTTATAGAGGCCACCGAGCAATGCGGCGAGTGCGACAGATAATTTTGTTGTTGGTGTCTGGCAATGCCAGTTGTCATTTACCGTTAACGCGTTAACGTTTGCCGTTCCTTTTGCCCGCACTTGGCAATGCCTTTCTTATTTATATTTCTTTTATATTTTTTTGCATTTTTATTTTATTTTATTTTTTTTTTTTTATTTTGGCTTTTGCAGTCAGTTTGGCGTTGTTGCGTCTGTCATTACGTTCGCCTGAGCTGCGACTTTGGTGTGCACATGAAATTTTATGACAAGTATTTCGCGTATTGTTCGCAGTTGACGTTGCCATTCGAGATAACGAAAAGGCTGACAGGCAAGAACAACAACACGAACTGCTTTCACGAAACAAGCAGCCAACACGCCCACCGACTGAATACGTCGACTGCAGGTGCTAAGGGCAAATAAAGAAAATACATATGCATATACTATATAAATATACATATATGTATATATGTATGTACGTAGTTAACTGTAGTTCGTAAGTCTTTAGTCGCTTTTGAGCTGGGCAGAAATCACTTTCCGAAATTCTGATAATCGCTTTGAACTTTAACGTTATTGTATATCAATTAACAGATAAGTTGTCAGATTTCGAAAGTCTGAAATGCTGTGGTCTCAGTAATTATTATATGGTTTTTATAAAAAATATGAATTGGTCTTGTGCTATTTTTCTGTTCTCGTAAATTCTTAATTAACAATAAAGTGCTTGTAATATTCTCTTTTCCCTACCTTTGCATACCAATTCCTATTTCATTTTCTTGAGGAAATGTCAACCTTCGCTCCTCATGTTTTTGTATTTTTCGCTTCATACATTTTTAGTAGCGTAAATAAAATTGTTATCCCCCAAGAAATCAATAGATATTCATAAATTTCTTGCACTTTCAACAATATCTCGTTAGTCGCTGCACATTAAATATGAAGAATGTTTAATTTTCTGTTAGCTTAGCTTCAACATGACCATTTTGTTGCCAATAAAATTTCAACTTCTTCTGAAAAGAAGAAAAAAAAAAAAATGAATAACAAAATAAAAAATACAAAAAATATAAAAGAAAAGCTGTGCGAAAGTTTTACCAGCCCCTTGGACCCGTGCCGCCTGTGTAACCTCCCCCGTGACCTTTCCGTTGTGCATTTTACTTTGTTTTTGTTGCTTTTTCTGGCACTTTGGGCATACAAGAAAGTTTATTAAAAAGTATGCAAGAAATTTTTGCATCTATGCATCGCTCGGCAGGCAGGAGCGCTATGATCCACATTTCTTTATGTTGATGTTGTTGTTGTTGTTGTTGCTGTTGTTGCTGTTGTTCAGATTGACATGAAACGGCAAAATGAAATTGCAATTTCTTGTGATAAATTTCAATGAACAACCTGCCAGTGTGCCCAGGCGCACAGGCGAGTGAATGTAAATATGAAAATGTGAGGCATGCAAAATGCAAATAATTTGAGTGCACTTTGTTGTTCAATATGAATCAAAGTTGAGTGATTTATGTGGCATGACGATGGCCCAGCCGCAAACTACAAGACTTACACAATATCATTAAAAAATGGCAAGATATTTTGCCATATCCCATAATACATGGCCAATTAGGCCGTAATTGCAATTTTAAGCAAATTGGGGCTTAATTATTTTTCTGCTCTTTTTTTTTTTGCATGTTGCTCCGTATTAGTTTTAATTACGAGAATTGGGGTTAACATAAATCAATGTGATCTTTGAATAAATCAGTTCTACTGAAAGTATTTTTGGTAAGGAAGTATGTGTAGGTAAAATGAATATATTTGCCGATCATCAGGTTTTTAGAAGAGATTAAGTGGGCATTCATTTAATCCATTCACTTAACCTAAGCAACTGTCCATACATATGGGGTCATGACATCTGTTCGACAGCATTTCACAGGTTTATTTGAGTACCAATGCATATCTCATACTTTATAAGCTTGAAGCTGATATTTTTGCGGGGTGTCGATTGGCAAGTGGAAATTGTTTAAAAAACATCAGAAATAACTCAACCATATGATTGTGTTTTGCAAGCTTCATGTCATCGGTAAAATAATAAGCCACGAAACCAGGAACTGAAATTGAATGGGTGTTAACAGCGATACAAATAGAAAATTACATTTTTATACAAGTTTTACAAGACATATTTTATTATTTTAATTAATACTATTTAATAATATTAAAAATAACATTGTTTAAGGTTGTGTATCACACATACATTTAAAATATGCAAAACATTTCAGAAATATTGCCAACTGCCATTGAAGGAAAGAAATGGGCATGTCAAATGAGGTGGTTTCTGTCTGCAGCCTGTAATATAAATTGTAGAAAAATAAAATTGTTGGTTGACGTTCAGTTTTGCTGCTGTTGCGCTGCGGCAACTTTTTAATGTGGCCTTTGGGTTTGCCAGCAAAGTGCATTTAACAGACGAATGTGTGTGTTTATGTGTGTGTATGTGTGTGTGCATAACTTATACTGTGTGCTTTCAATTGCGTTGCTGGTGGGAGAAAATTCACTACTGTTTGCAGTTGGAATGCAAATGCAAACTAAAACTACAAATTGCAAACTTCAATGGGGGCAAACTGCCGTCTTGGCAAACTTGGCTCGCAACTTCTCAATTTACATTTGAAATGCGCTGCTGGCCTTTGTGCAACAGCTGCTGCAATTAGCGAACCATTAACTAATGTGTACGCAACCCTATTGATTTCGCAATTTCTTTCCACAGCTGCCGCCTTGGCCAATCACCATGACAGCTTGACCCTGAGCCCGGGCGAGCATAGCCTCGTACGGTACACTAACGAGTCCCTCATTGTCCAGTGTCGCAGCCCCAGTCCCGATGTGAAGCTGCATTGGAAGTCGCCTAAAGGTGAAATAATACACGAGCACAAAGGACGCATACATATCGAGCAAACGGCACCAGGTGAGTCCAGACGAAATGCAGCCAAACAATCAATTGAGCCAAAGGACTCTTGCGCCAGCAGGCACAACAAATAAATAAAATTAATTGCATCGCTTTACACGAGGGAGACAATTGTGCTTGGCTTTTGTTTTGGAAATCTCTTTTAACCTCTTGATTAAGACAAGTTTTTTGCCAGCTTGACAATAACAATATATTCTTTGCACTTTGTAAGATTTCAATGTGCATAAAAATACTAATGCTATAATACAATTAGGAATCAGTGTATAAATCTCTTAATTATAAATGTACAAAATCAATGTACATTGCTTTAAAGCGTGCAACATAATCTCTCGTTGCCGAGAACTATAAACCAAGGTGCACTTCGCTGTTTACTCTTTTATTTGATTTATATTTTTTTACTTCCTCTACCGCACAGAACAATTGAAAATCGTTTTTGCACACATTGCGCTGGCGGACAAGGGCAATTGGACCTGTGAGGCTGTTGAGGGTGGGCTGCATAGTAAATCGTTCGATTTGATTGTGTATCGTAAGTGCAGAGATCGAACAACCGACCAACAACCACATTCATTAATTTTTCATTGTATTCTCGCCACACACGCGCACACGCACACGCACACACAGAGAAAATTACATTCACCGAAAAGGATACCGTACTGACCGTGAAGGAGGGTCAAACAGCTACAATATTATGCGAGCTGAAGGGCGAACCGCAACCGAATGTCACCTGGCATTTCAATGGACAGCCCATTAGCGTGGAAGGTGAGTCGCCAATCCTAATGAGCTTTACACAACGCTGCAGTCTTATTTTCTGGATATTTTCGCTTTATTGTGGATTTTCTCGTTGCACCCGTTTATCATCATGTTTCTCTCATTTTGGCAGCAAACGCTTCGAAATTTCGCATCCTGGCCGATGGTTTGCTCATCAACAAGGTAACACAGAGTGACACCGGCGAGTACACGTGCCGGGCATACCAAGTGAATTCGATTGCTTCCGATATGCAGGAGCGCACAGTTTTGATGAAAATCGAACGTGAGTGTGATATATGATTTTTCAACTCAGCCAATGCACACTGGACAAAAAGTTGTTGAATAAAAGCAAACAAAACTCTGCTCCTGCTAGTCAATAGGTTTAAAACTTGGGATTTAGAGAAAAAAGGCATGCTAGGAGTTAGAAAACAAAGAATTAAATGTTACTGCACATTGAATGCCAAATTTGCTAAAGTTAACTTACAATAAATTATTTAGGCGAAACAACTATCATGTTATATTTGTAACCCTAATTAAACTTGTATGAATAATTACAATAAAAGTTATTCTACAGTTAACATAATAAAATTAACAAAAAAAGGTTGGCTATATAAACCGATCTGAGAGATCAATTGGTTAAGACATTCAAAATCGCGTCCGCATTCTCCTTCTCCAATTCTAAGTCTCTTTAGAAGACGCCTAGAAAAGATGAATTAAACCTTTAGTTCAAACACATAATCAAATACAAATCTTCGTATGCCTTTCAAACTGTATATTTCATCTACAATTTATTTTTATGCGACTTTTATTCTGTATCGCCTTTTCAATTCTTCAGTATTATAAACTTAAAATTTAATGTAACGAGTCAGAGTTCATATTTTGATTATGTAAGAAAGGAAATTGAATTCTCAAAATGTACTTAAGCCTTGATCTCGCGAAAACTCAAAATTTTCCTATTAAGTTTTAACCATTTTATTCACTTAGTTTTAATTTTATTACTTAGTTTTTCACGCATTCCCGACCCAGTGTGCTTTTGTATTGAATGGCAGGGAAATTACTTGAGCAGCTTAACGAGCGCCTCTAAAATTTGTGCGCGTTTTAGTATGCAGCGCACTGAGCGGCAAATAGTTTTTTGAGCACGAAATATTTTAAAATTACATACGCTTAGTTCGCATATGTTTTATGCTCTGTGCAGGGGCGTGCTGTGGGCGTGGCACATATGTAGCTAATGACTTTACTTGCGCAAAGAATTGACGGCCATTTTTGATTTATGCGGAAAGCGCATGAGTGTTGCATATTTCGTAGCATAATTTTGAGCTTCCGCTGAATGCAGTCAGACAGATACTGCAGAGAAATGCTTAATAAATATAATTCTAGCGCAGTCTTTAATTGAATTGATTTAGATAAGCCTCACTGGACGCTCAAGTCGCATTTGAGCCTGCAATACGCGTACATCAATGGCACAGCGAGCATTATGTGCGAGGCACAGGCGGAGCCTCCGGCTACTTTCAACTGGTACCGCAAACAGAAACGGCTGGAAAGCAATGAGAAGCTCTACACCATTGAGACGGAGAACTATTGGTCGCGCTTAACCATCCATGTACTGGATGCGAAGGTCTTTGACAGCTATCGGTGCCGTGCACACAATCATTTGGGCAGCATTGAGCGCATCACGCGCTTGGATGAGGGCGAAAAGCCACCCCCGCCTCTCGTCTTTCAGCTGCGCGGCTACAACTCGAATACTTTTGATGTGGATTTGAGCGCGCCGCGGGATAAGGATCAGCTCGGACCCATGGATGTGAATGGGTTTCGCATCGAGTATATGACGGAGCTGGAATTCAAAACGGATGCGGGAAAATGGACGAATGCCAAGCGCAAGGACTTCCCCTATGAAGAGGGTAAGCAGAGGAGGCGGCAGCGGCAACGGCAGCTGCATCAGCTGGTTCCCGTTATTCAACAATAGCTTTTCCATTTCTCTGCGACAGGTGCCAATTTTCTCATAACGAACCTGGAGCCGGATACCGTCTATTTGATACGCGCTGCCTCGCGTAATCTGGCCGGCTTCAGTGACTATACGAAAGTGGAGAAATGCAAGACTCTATCCCTGGAGCCACGTGTATCAGCCGGAGCCCTGCTGCCGCCCATCTATCAGCTGCTGTCGGTGTTGCTTCTGGCACAGCTGCTGCGGCATTGCCACTGAGTTCATGCAAATCTGTGAGTGGATGTGCCCCCAAAATTCCATGTGCTTTGTCTAGCTTTAAGGCGTCGCCAGGTTAACCTCCTTAGTGTCTGATTTGCTGCCTGATTGCTGCTCGTGTAATGTGTAACGTGTACTAATTAATATTCTAAGTTGTTAATATAACCGCTAATAAGCTTAAGATAATAAGGAGTTTCGTTTCGTTTAATTTAGCTTTTGTGCAAGCCCAGCAAATTAGTCAAAATTCATAGCAAAACATATAAAATCAACTTATTAAAAACTTAAAAACAAATAAATGGCCGCTTAGTGCTTAGTTCAAAGCTGAAAATTAAATATTCAACATAATGAGAATGCAGTCCAGAAAGCTGTGGCCAAAAGGCCAATAGCAAGTTAATTGATAGCTCTAGATATAAACGTAAAGGTTTAAATATTAATAACTACAGGAAAATTATTCCTAGAAAATCCCTTTGTAATCTATTTTATCTAGACTTGAATTAATAACCTACAAAAAATCTTTGTAAAAATCAATGCATTTATTTGTCATATCCAAATCGAACAAAACTATGCCTCCTACTAACAGACAAATCCTTCTGGAAAACAAATCCTCTTACAAACCATACCATAAAAAATATTCAAATGAAGCTTTACAAAAGCATTGCAAGTTTTTTTTACAAACGGTTTTCAATATTCTAGTATAAAAGCCAAATATATATAACCAAACAGGTAAATTTAAAATAAATAAATACAAAACCATTCCACTAACGTGAAAGAAAATAAAAAATACAAATACATACAATAGTAGAACTAAATTTATGTCACACAAACACATTTAAGCAATATAGTCAAAATGCAATTTTATAAAATATTATATCTCAAGTAAAAATGTTGCCAATGATTTAATGTTTTGTGGTTTCTGTGTGCCAACTATGGATAATATGAATAAACAATATGATTGAAAACGTTTTTGATATAAATATTTCTTTGGACAAAACGAACTCTATGCTTTTTGTGACTATGCTCAAATGTTTTTTATTGTTATTTATTTTATTTTTGTTCAGAAATTTCTTTACAGGCTATTGTATTGTAGTATTTGTGTTCATAATGCATAATACACATCAGTTTGTAGTGCAATTTTAAAAGCAAGATTAACAATTGCTGCAATTTATATGCTGGTTAAAAATTAAAAAACTCTGGGTATTTTATTTACAAGGCCCCTGTGCACGGGTTGTCTTAGTGGGCAACTGAACGGCGAGGATCTGGGCTCCAAATCATTTAAGTACATGGATGTAGTGTTGTTTTAGCCAAAGACAAATTTAAAAAATTGTAATATTAAAAGTTGAACTTTATTTAAATACTGTTAATTAATAATAATAATAATAATAATATTATTATTATTTTTAATAATTATTTCTATTATTTCTAATAATAAACTGACATCCAATTGCAATTCAATGCTGTGAAGTGTGCGTGAAGTTGCTGTAAAACTAAATCTATTTGGTAAATCAAATTGTTGTATAAAATGAAAAAAAAAAAAATTAGAGGAAACTGTCATTCCTAGTCAAAAACATAAACTGGCAAAGGCTTGAACGCAGTAGCCATGAAAAGGTAAGGGAATATTTTGAATAGCTACGACTTCAAAGGGGATGGCAGCTGTCAGTAACTAGGTAAAGAAATTAAATTCACTTATGATACTTGGTTTTGTATCTGGGAACAATGCAAAGCAAGCGTCAAGCTGTCAAATGGTGCTACAAAGGTGTCAGTTGAAAAATTTAGACAGATGAGAGTAGTTTGAGTTGATATTGTTTGGAATGCAAGTAAATTTCCAGTTAATCGACAACATGGGTAATTTTGATAGTTTCACCGGAATGTTGACAGCCTTCCGAAGAGACTAAATTGTTTTCTATTCCATCCGTGTTTATATATGTGCTTACAGATGCTGCACGCACATATGAACGATACTTGAGTGCGCGAATACGCGTGGAACGACTAGATTGGTTACTTTCAAGAGGTCGTGGTTTGCTTGCACAGAGGATCAATCGCCATGGCCGCATACCCGCTGGTGGACGGTTTACTCCATCCGTCGGCTCATTGTCCCTTTCGTGCGTTCGTATACCCATCTCGAAAAAGCAGTCTGATAGATGCGTGTGCGAGGATGTTAAGCCCACCAGTTCTCAGAAACGAAGTAAAACGAAGGAGCATACACACGCATCTGAGGAGTATATAACCGTCTCTAAAGTGCAGTCTGATAGATGTGTATGTGATGAGCCCACCTGCGCAAAGAAAGGACATGAGGTAGTAGAGAAAGAAAGAAAGAGAAAGACTGAAAGAAAAGCCAAGTGCAAATGCATTTGCAAGCGTCCAGTTATAGTGGTGCCATCAAAATGGAAATATGAAGTATGCCCACAAGGCAAAAAAGGGAATTCCAAAATGCGTTTCAAATGCTGTTTGGCTAGGGACAAGAAGAAGACTAAAACTTGCCGATCAACACAAAAAGTGGAGCCCGTAAATTGTCCATGTCAAGAAAAATTAGTGGGTGCTCCATCGAGGGAGAGTCTGAGGTCCGACAGGCACCTTTCTCGAGAATCAAGGAAAGGACCGGAGCCCGTTCAGTGCTCTACAAAGTGTACCGAATGTGAAAAAATACCGAATATAACCATAGAACTATGCTTGCTAAAAAAGAAACTGGAGGAGCAGATCGCACAAGAAGCAGAGCAGAAGCAACAACTGAATGTGATGAACGATCAACTGAAACAGCTCTGTAGCACCGTCTGTACTCTTAATGAAAAGTGTAAGGGCTTAGAGAGTGAGAAGGGAAAGCTGACCAAGTGCGTCTGCATAAAAAAGTCGTCAGCAAAACTTATATGTAATAGAAATGATTCCACACTGGAGCGCAAAGTCTCGAGCCAGTGTCAGTTTTGCAAGGACAAGAAGCTACCCGTCCTTAGCAGCATGCAGTACGCACTCTTCAAAATGATGGGCAAGCGTTGCTTTCAAGACATTGCCCTGACGATCCTATTGCGAGCGGACAATGTCTACCATGTGAATGTTAGAGATCTGGAAACTGGCTGTGTACTGGGCTGTTTGCTGGTTACCGATGCGGGCATCAAGGAGGCCAATACTCTGGGTATTTTCCAGGAGATACTCACATTCTGTGTTATCGATGTGCGCAACACGATCAACAACAAGGATGCCGTCTTTGGTGGCATAAATTTCGAGCTCGTACGCGATCACCGGCTGACTGGAGGGAATACATCAAGCCCAAAGACGCAGCCGGAGGCCTGTGTGGTGGAGCAGTGCGATTCGCCAGTGGAACTCTGTGAGGAGGAGTCAACGAAGGAGCAGCAGACTTCGATTTTCTGCTTAACCGATGATTTCAAGGCTGCCTACAACAATTCCAAAACATTTTCAGTTTCTTCTTCACCAAAAACAAGCGAGCCACAGGTCGAGACTAAAAGCAAAAACAACAGTAAGCCCAAGATGAGCATGTCCGAGGCAATACGAGAAATTAATAGCTATAGTAGTTCCCTTGTGCTGACAGATACGGAGACTAAATATCCAGTGCGACACATTCGAATCATTTCCCTGATGGAATCCACCTCCCCCTCTGAATATAGCGATGACGATTTTCCTCGATCTAAGCTAAACTAATGGCTCGTTAGCTGCTCGCTCAATCTGTCATAGTTATTAAAAATTCCAAATTTTAATGTGTTGTAACAAGTATTGTACATATTTTTAATACAAATTTTTAACCAAATAATATCCACAAGCAGGTAGTGAGTAGAAGACAAATGCCACCATTGAGAAGGAACCCATTCTTGCAAGATTAAAGATACTTGCTGATTTGTAGGAGGAAACCCTAGCACCATCTGTTTAAGTAAGAATATTCCTCATTTTTACCCATTTTAATAGAGTTTAATAGCTGCCTGTTTTTTACCTAGGTCGCATAGACTAAACTATAACATAATGCAACTTGTACAGTATTTGGAAGACATTTATTTATACTTATTTTAATGAAATATATTTGCGGGCTTCAGGACCTTATTACACAGGATTAAACGATAAAATATCTTTTAGATATACCTCAATAAATCGTGCTGATTTCCTATTGAATATCTTTGTATATTGCCTTTACTTAAGTCCTTACCAGCTCAAAATGTAAAATCAAACATAAAATAAAGTTAAGAAGCCTATGTTCAATTTTTTGTGTGGGACGTCGCCTAACTTATGATGCTTTCAGTTCTCGTACATTTATTAACGAATTCCGAAAAATATTTTATATTTGTTTAAATTCGTAATTTTTTATATAAACAAATCTAAAAAAAAAACTTTAGTCTTCGTCCAAAGCCCAGTTCCCATTTTAAATCATACTTGTCAATGTTTCTTTAGTTGTTCCCACAAATGAGTGACCTTGGTTAGTATTCAATGTCGGTTGGATCTAGCCATGTCCATTTGTAGCAACAAAGGACTACTAGATCCAATATTTCTTTTATAGAAAGTAAAGTTATGTCGAAAAAAATAATTTTTGAATGAAAACTCTCAATCTCCAATGCATCGCCAAACAGGATTCTCGAATATAAAATTCATGAAAATGACTTCGATATTTATATATTTTTTAAAAATTTAACTAGTGTAAGCTGCTAGCGGTCTACTTGGATAACATGAGTTTGTGGTTCCCATAGGAACAATGTCCTAAAGGGTATTTAATCTTCGGCGTTTTGTTATTTCTTGCTAATGCCTTCTTTTTGCTGTTTGACTATGAAAGCTGTTCGGCTGGCAAATCTCAAGGATAGAAAGCTTTGAAATTGCAATCAAAGCAAATTGTTTGGGCTCGGCACAAAAGCAATTTTTAGCCTGCATTTGTGTAACGGGCTGAAACAGAAGCAACCACTGCGGCCAGAAGAGCCATCGAACCGCATGTCAAACGGTTCATTTTGGCAAATAGAGGTTTGTCAATCAGCCGCATTGCCGTATCCGTGCGCCAACAGCTGTCCGATGAGAGGTCGAGCTGTGTGTTCGTTTGTAACCCCAGCATCTGGTGCTGGTAACTCCTGGGGCCTCGCTGACAGCCGCATAAATCAGATGAATGGCAAACAACGCGGATGCGAATGCGGCTGCGGACACGAGAAATGACAACGACAGCCGCCATATTGCGGACTTTGGCCCCAACTGACATTTATTGCCAAACCGCGCGTTAAATACTATTTTTCGTTGTACACAATTCTATTTGTGCGTCATAATGGCATCAGGCAGAAGGCATTAACATTTGATATTAGCACCAACGCATCAGGCATCAGTCGTTTGGGCCAACAAAGGATAGCAGCAGCAGTTCGCATGCGGCCGCTGACATTTGTGTAATTGTTTTGCATCGGAACGATATTGTGTTCGTGCCACAAAATGCGGCAGCCATTCGTTAAGCCGGGCAGATATCACTCACAATCTACATTCAGTTGTCAAAGCCAAAGCGCATAATGAGCCCATGTCAGTGGAATCCATCTGGACCACATTTTGGCTCCTCTCATTTAAGCAAAAACTGGACTCGTGCAACTCTTTAATGGAAACTGAGTCGCTTGACAAAAAAAATCTTGCCTATTTTTTCGCCTAAATGACGTTAGTGGGACGCACGCTTTTAGCCTGAATCGTCGGGTTTGCTTTTGTTGCATACCCTGTTGCCGCATTTGGCCGTAAAAGAGTATAATACAGTTCTTAAGATGTGTGAATACTAGCTGGGTTTTAACAGACTTTGTCTGAGCCAAGGGTT